AGACCCGACCCAAACCCATTGGTTCTCGATTCGGGTACCCGTTCGGGTATTTAATTTATGAAGAACCGCTCGATTCGATTCGGTTCGGGTTCAGTTCGGTCCGGTTCGATTCGGTTCGGGACTTTTGGACACCCCTAGCTCAAACACACCCTAAAAGGGTAATTAGTATATAATGTTCCTATATTTCACATTTATTGCAAAAAACTTTCCAACATTTTATTTTTTGGCATTTTTACCCTTAATTATATATTTGATTGCGTCAACCATCATTTCTATCCATTTTCATCCAATTTCTCAATAAACCTGTGAAATGATGATTATACCCTCCTATTTAAATAAAAAGTTAAAGAATTAATTGCAATCATAATCTCCAATTTTTTTTTTTAAAAGTGCAAGCAAGTCCCCAATAAATTATTAAAAATTAATTTTTTTTAAAAAAAGTGCAAACGAGTCCCAATGAAATTTATTTCAAAATTAAAAAATGCAAACGAATCTCAAATAAATTATTAAAAAATTAAAAATTAAAAAATATATTTTTTAATTTAAATAGGATGGTATATTCATTATTTCTCAGTTTTTTATTGAAAAATTGGATGAAAATGATCATTTGCATAATCAAATGTGTAATTAAGGGTGAAAATGTCACAAAAATGAAATGCAGGGACTTTTTCGCTATAATGGTGAACGATAGGGACATTATATACTAATTACCCTTTTAATAATTTATTTGTGACTTATTTGTGCTTTTTAAAAAAACTTGGGACTGTGATTGCAATTAGTTTTTTTCTTTTTGTTTTATTTAAATAGAGGTATATTCATTATTTCATACTTTTTAATTGAGAAAATATGTGAAAATGACATTTTGCGAAAATGTGAAAATGACAAAAAATGAAGAAAAAAGTTGTGCGTACAAGAAAAAATAATAGGAATTCAAATTTCACTCACATGGGTGGGCCATGTGAATTAAAATATTGGCAAAAAACCCCACCCACCCCTGCTCTGTGTGTTCTGGCAGTAGAGGAATTCTGTACCATGTCAAAAAAATGAAAGGTGTTGATGTTATGTGTTAATTACTTTAAACAAAATCTTATTTGTAAAAAAGAAAAATAAACAAGACATGTGAAAATCAACTCGGCACAAATGAGTACTTATTTTTGGAAAAAAAAATAGTAATAATGCAAAAACCTATGCGAAAGAATAGAATCTTGGTCCAAAGTTTCACTGACTTGAATTACAAAGTACTCAAAAATTTGACTTTAAGCACATAATCGGGAATAAAGATGACACAAAAAGATTGGTTATTGATACAGTTCAGATTGAACTGCAATGCTAAGTTACATAAAATACTAAGCAATAGATACATTAATTATTATCACAAAAACCCATCAAGATTTGAGTTAAATTCTGAATTTTCCCAATTATAAGCATCAGTTACCTGTCCCAGAAAATTGGGTATAGAGGCTTTCCGGAAAGATGAGGGAAAGCATAAATGAAGCAAAGGGCTCCCTTCTTCTACCCTTAAGAGGAAACAAAGTATACATGTATCGCATATATTGGAGTGCGAGAGTCTCAAATAAAGAAGCGGGAGGCGTAGGCTGGCGTAGGGGGGTGGAGTAGGATATTTTATAGGGTGAACACTGAAGCAAAGTGAACTGAATGCCATGCTGCATTCACAAGAAGATAGTGACACTTGGCTGTGTGACTGTTTTGATAACCATTATTTTCAAATTCTGCATATACATTATGCATCCACACAAAAAAATATTTTACACAAAAATTCAAAAAATTTCTCTAGTTTTTAATCACGCATCCTTCTAAAAATTATTATTCAAAACTCTATTTTTTTATAATGATTGTCAAACAGAGACTATAGATAAATTGTTGAATTATGCTCCTTGTACACTCCTTGTGTACATTGAGTTTGACACTCTTTTGCAAATTCAAAAATGAAGTGG